ATATCATGTTCGATAGAATTTGAAACAAAATGAGTCAGTCACTCTATAATACTGCATTGACTAGCAACTAAGCTATAAGCATAGATGATACAACTAAGCAGGTATTCTAGATTTAGACTACAGTATTCAGAATTTTACTTTAAATTCATGAACAATCAGTGAATCACCCCCTTCAGTATTTGACAGGATGGATACAGATATTAATTAAACATTCTATGACCTAGATAGGATGACTGGCTTTGTCTGTCTGGGATATAGCAAATATTGATAGCTGTTCCATTGATTATCCATACTCCCCCTGCAGATCAACCAAGGTCAGGTTTGTTATGATTTTCCAGCTGGTTGGCATGCATAGGACTCTTCTATTTAGACAATAGAGGTTGAAATCGAACAATTAACACCACTGAGACTACCATTATAAAGTATACCGGTGCATAGATTGCTTTCTATCATTATTGGTTTATACATTGGTTTACATCAGTGAGCTATCATGTCTAGTCGCTATTAATTGTAAGTTACTGACTTCAATCAATTAGTGAAACAAAAGTGTGGAACAATGCAATTTCCGAGTAAAGCTTCTGCATATTATTGCAAACAAATTGAGCAAATTGCTGGAAATGAAAGGAAAAATTTAAAATATTATGAAGTAGTCTTGATACTTTTGATGCATGTAATCATGTAAATAAATTTGGCTGATGGCATTATGGCCACAACTTGCAAATCGGAAAAAATTAATGTAGGGGGGAGCAACTGATTTCTGCTAGAAAATTCAACAAATCTGCAAGATTTATTTTTTCATGAGAAAGTTTGTTGAAATTCATTCATTTAAAATAAATGGTATCGTGAGACCAATACTTGAGAATATTTAAGACATTTCAGCATCAAAACTGTAACATTGCTGTTATGGGGATTCTGGGTAGTTTTTGTGACAAGTGGAAACTGGACTTGAGGGACATCATTATTAGTCTTAGATAAAACATCAAACCAGTATGAACTACTTCATTACTATTGTAATAGGGACTTATCTATATACAAAATGAGAGATATTATCTGACTTGATCATGTATATTCACCAGAGGTTTTCATTTCTGCGGCTTTCTGAGAAATAATTTAAGATTTCAACAACTTAGAACGCACACTGTTATCAGAAAGTACAAGACGCAACTAAACATTTGAAGAATATGAGCATACTTTTAACCTGACATAAGAATGATAATTGGATTAGAAAACAAATATTAAATTCTCATTACCAAACAAAATATCTGGCCATGAATCTGTTCAGTTTGCATTATATAAATGATCTGTTTTGTGATATATATATTATACTGAAATAAAGCAAAAATACTGATTTTAATAGTTTTATGATGGTGGGAAAAAATGATAAATCAAAGTGGATATTATATTTGAATAACGAAAATATCATTTTTATCATTCGAATATTATCTCCAACTTTTTCGCTCCAGAGAATTAGACTAAACACCCTAAATACTCCAAACATTCACTGTATACATAAAACTATGTGGAAAAACTTAAAAAGAATTATGTAAACTTCCACTTAAAACAGAACCTTAAAAGATTTGGCTTAACATAACAAAATCTTCAAACTATGATTTATATGTGCTTTTTCTTGAAGAATCTCATAATCTATCACATGGCTTTATTAAAGCAGATATGAAATGGTATTTTTTAACCTAAAGGAATCAATATAATTTTTTGATAAATGTATTTGGACATATTTTCTCATCAGTAGTGCGAAAACTATTTCACTCTAACGATCGTTATAGCTGCTTAATAAGCAATATTCGAATTGGTTGTGACGTTATTGGCCCCCACGTGATCTCTCACTGGTCCCCACATGGCCCATAACGTCATAATGCCAAAATGTTTTGTTTTGGTTTACACTACAATCCTATGGTTGCCGTGACGTTGTGATTACTAAGGAACCAATAAACCAAAGCTATATTTTGTATATGACGTTACTTATCACGTGGGGGCCAATTTGATTGATCAGTTAGTTTTATTTCGTTATTTATGACCGTTAGCAGTTATCTAACATTTATCTTATAATGACTATCGCAAGAACTCTACGTTGGGCTTACAAAGGAGAAAACCGCATTTTTGTAGCTGCAAGTTGAGAAAAGCTATTTCAGTTGTCCTTTAAGCACGCACAATGAATTATTCACTGACAACACCAGAAGCTTGATTAATAATAAAAAATCTGACACTTCCATCTAGAGTTACTTTCCATGTTGTATAACATTGTAAAAAATATAACCATGTAAATGAATAAATTGATGCCATCATATGCTGTAAATATCTGACTATCTTCTAGATGTGACACTTCCTCATGACGCTTACCTGCATTAGCAGTGTTCTCCCCAGAATTAAAGCAAGTGGGCGCAGCACCAGCACCCACCTGAGATTGAAAATGAGAAAAATCAATTTTGGCCTGAAATGTGAAAATGAGAATTATGCACCCAGAGAAAAAAATCTTGGGGAGATTACTGATTAGATAATTACAAAGATGCAAATATTTGAACCAAAACACTTTATTTGTCTATATTGGCATCTAATTCATAACAGTAAAATATGATATAATTAAATAAAGGGATTGTAAATATGCTCCTACAAGGCCCTCTTTGTGAGTATTAGTTGTCACTGTTTAGTTTTACAAGACGAAGAAGAAGCCTCTCAAGCATAACAATAGCCTCAAATATAAATAATCAAATAAATATGAATCAAATAAAAATAACAGACAACTCAGTAGAATGCTACAAAGTATCAACCAGGGCATCTTAATTAACTATTATAAATGCCATTTACCATTGATGGGTGCCTGGGACTTAACTTTTTGATTGTTAACAAACTTTCTGATAATTTCTTAACAAGTTATATATTTATGCTGATTCTGATCACAGGCTTTGTCACTCAAGAATGACCTTGACAAATTAATGCAATGGGCAAATAAATATAAAATAAAGTTCAAAACTTCAACGAGCCTTGACATTTTGTTTAGTCCCCCCAGATCTCTAGCTATTAATGTGCCAAGGAAGGTGATCCTTCCCTAATTTCAAGGACGCATTTAGGACTTTTCCTAGTCAATAAGTACAATTTCAGAATTGGTCACACTGATGCAGTTTCAGATACTATCTATTATTGAAGGCAGGGTTCTCAGTTCTCACTTGGCGTTTAGACTCAGGAGATTTCCAATAGTCTAATGTCATAAAAACTGCTTGCTCCGGAGTCTAATAGCTTCTCTGGAGTCTAAAGTGTTTTTTCCTGAGTCTTAATTTTTCTTTTTTGTCACATTAATTATTTGTGGTAAAGCTCTTGAGAAAATACATAAAACTAGATACAAACAAATTATATGAAGTCAAAAACCTTTTAGAAATGTATATTGTGATTGTGATAATCTAAAGTAGTATTTTGAAAAGTATACTAATAATAGGATATCTCTGATCTCTCATGGGGGAGGAGTAGTCAAGCAGCGAAAAACCCAGGGTTTAAAAATTTCCTGTTGAGAACCCTATAGATCAGGGGGTCAGAACAAGACATTTTGTGATGTAATGATAATATGATACGATTATATGAATTGTTACAGCAATTAATTAAAGAATCCTTAACTTAACTAGTTTCTGTTACTGACCTCCAACAAAGTTTCTGTTAATGACCACTTGTAAAAAAAATACACATGAAACAATGAACAGAATCAGTGTTTACTTGTAATGGAACTATGCTTGGTTTATAGCGATCCGAATATTGACTATATGTAGAGTCCTATAAAATCATTTATTATTCATTGACATTTAAATATCATTTTTCTTGTTATATTCAATACTTTGTTATCTTCATGCAATCAGTTGCATCAGATCAAGCTTTTAAATAATACAAATCAATATTCAGAGGGGTGACAGGCAATGACTTCAAGAGCAATCATGTATATGACAGAAATGTCTGACAAAAAGATAATAAAGTTATTTTTACATCTTCTCTCCAACATCTGGATCATTCACAGTTATCAATAAAACTTTCATATTTTGGCAATTAATTCTATTGTGTTTCTAAGATTCTTAAGAACAAATGGGGTTCAAAGAGGGAAGCCATTTTGTATCTAAAATCTGCTTGTCTGTTCTCGGACAAATTGTGATATTCCTTGAATCATCAATTCAACATAATTTATATATACATAATTAATTAAAAAGAAATAGAAGTAACAGGATCATATGATATTTATAACTTATTTATTATCAAGGATCTATAAAGATGTCAGTATTCAATCACAAAAGTTCAAAAGTGCATGTAACACGCACTGGTTGACCTCAAAACCAGCTGATCAGTCAAAACAATGTTTTGATCTCTAATATATGCATTTTGCAATATGATATGTATTGTAAAATTTAAAAATACCCATCAAATATCCATCCATTATCCCATAAATAGAGACCATGGACTCGGATCAACAGAAGATGGTTGAAAATGGGTGTCTCCCAAGTTGAACCAAAAGCAATATGTCTGCCATCATGATGAATGGAACATGGGAAGACAAAACAAGCTTTGTTTCAACTCCAGAACCTGGGCACACTGGATAATCCCATACCCCTTTTCCCCATCCTTAGTATGGACAGCATAATAATTTTCAATTTCAAACAATAAATGTTGATGAAAAAGGTCATCAGCATTGAAAACATAACAAAACAAATGGAGACCGCGTGGTCGTGTTTACAAAATGTTCAACCTTGACACAGCAAAATTTTTGAAATATTTTGCCAATATTTATCTCATTTAGAACGCCAGATCAAGATCGTATGGTTTTAAAGCTTAAAGCATTGTATGTGCAAAGTCTTGGATACACTAGTTATCCTTCTAATATCCCGAATGTCGAGGAAACTGGGCGAAACTGAACGAATTGTACGGTTTCAAAAAATAATGGCGGAAATTTACCCAATTTTCGCCCAAATTACTCTTACAAACAGGCATTCAGAGGTAAAACTCACACTTACCGAGCAGTCAGGAATATTCCAATATGTCCACGGTATCTATGATTCGATGCTCCGTCATCCAGGAACTTGTTTTGGGGGTAAAAACAATCCAAATCTGAGTCACAAATCCAATGACGATGAAAAATGGCGCGCAAATTTTAATTTTGAATCTCGAACTTCTACATGAAATTTCTCTACGTTGGCGACTTTATCGTCCACATGATGTATATCAGTAGATCCGCTGTATACTTATACTGTCCATAGTAATCCAGAGTTTTTTGTTTTAGCATAAAAAATAACATAAAATCACTGAATTATCGCTCGGTAATGTCCGTCACAAAATGGCGGAAAATTCGAACGTTGAGTCTCGTCTCGTTCCCCAAGATGACGCGATTAGGCCTTGTTGCTATGACGATGTCAATCAAATTTTAAAGTACCCGGATAACAATGACTCATTCATTTCAAAAGCAGCTTGCAGATGCCTGCTTCTGCTTCAAAAAGTATATGATGCTGGTGATCATGCCCAGATTGTTAATTGTTATAATTTATTTACTTACAGATAATTGTTGTTGTACCTTCATGTTGATTATATTGTATAGCATACATAAGGCAGTAGCTGGAGAAGCCATTAGGCTATAAGTCCATGATATGACAATGCCCATTGTACCAAAAACTGATAGAGCCCACTGAAGCCACTGAATGACTGATACCATGATGTATCGAAAACCAGTATACCAATCCGTGTTGTACTGAAAACCAAGCAATTAATGGAACACTTATGAAATTATGCCCAAAAACAATCTGAAGGCCCACCAAGAGAGGGCAGTGAACAGGGGCGGATCTGGGAACCAACAAGGAGGGGCCCCAAACTTGTGATCTGAGGGAAAAAAATTTAGGGCTCCTAAAACCAAAAAGTGGGCCCAACTTTTGAAATTTTGAGGCCCATTTTCTTCAAACTTTGGCCTAAATTAAAATAAGGCCCATTTATGACCAAAAAGGCCCAATTTTTGGGGCCTTAGGCCTTTTTTAGCTTAACATTTTTCTTGGGCCCAATTTTTTTTTCTGGCCTCACCCAAGGGGGGGGGCCGGCCCCCCCAGATCCACCAGTGGTGAGGTTGCTTTTAATAGTCACTTTAAAATTCTAAATTTGTCATTTGTCACATTTAAAATTTACTTGTCATATTTTAAAATTTACTTGTCATAATTTGTTAGATTCATTCCTTTTTAGTCAGTCAAAGCATTAAATGCAACAAATGGTCTGTTATATTCCAAAGATTACTGCTTAGAATAAGTTACCTTTACTTCATACATTAAGAACAAATTGTCTATTCTTGTCACTTGAATGACTTGTCAGTCAGAAAAATGTACAAAAGTCACAATAAATCACATTTTTAGAGACCAAGTCATCTTGTCACATACCCCTTAGGAAGCTCCAAAAAGTTGGACTTGTTTTGCAGAAACTAGTACCCTTTAAATTAAGGTACCTGTACAATTCTAAGCAAATTGGCGGAACACTTTTAGAGTTATGACAAAAAAGCTGAAAACTTGATTTTTCCTGGACATGATATGATATGGACATGATATACAGTAGACATTTTAAAAGTGAATCCATTTATAATTGTTGTGGAGGATTTTGAATTTTGGCAGGCAGGCAGGCAGGCAGGCAAGAAATAAAATGCAGATTTCCAAAAAATGAGGTAAAGCTGTAAGTTTGAAGTGTGGACCGTGTGTTTTTGATCTTTAAAAAGTTGTCTTTGGACTTATGATGGAATGGATTGTCTCAACTAAAATTATGAAACACTTCCCAATTATTATTGTTACACAGTATGAAAAAATAACACACTTACAGGTCACAAGGACAACATTCTAAGTTTTCACTACGAAACAATTATAGGCTAAGTGTAAAAGTCCCATAATTTGTTGCCATGGTAATGTACACTCTTGAAATCTTAACAAATATTAACATCTCATTCAGATACTCATCACGAAATCTCCTTTACTACAGTTGGATCCTTGTAGCAAATCTAGGACAGTGGCATAATCTGAGTTTTTTCTACATTTGCTGTAGATTTCTTTTACTTTCATCAGGGGTAGTGTTTTGTATTTTGCACAACACTATACTTTTCAAGGTGTTTATCGCACTCCTAGCCATGCTATATTGGGAGCAGTTTGACAGGTGGGCGGATGAAGAGCATACACTGCATTAATTTCAAATAAAAAAGATTACTAGATAGTAGTGTCAGAATGAAATGAATTACATTATGGCACTATAAAACATGTAGGTCAGGACAGTTTACTTTTTTAATTGTGTCAAATTAAAAATGGTTTTAATGCTTTTATGAATCCACAATGATGCATGATGTATCTTTTAAAATCAATACCGAACGTTGATGAAGTGTGTATTTAAAATGTACATCTCAAATAAAATAGGTTACCTATAAGGTTGAAATGGATTACATATGGCAATTTAACCTCTTGAATCCCAGGCTCTAAAATCAGTTGAAACCATAGAATTTTTCATTTTTGCCAGCTTTTGACATTTTATTACATACATTAATACAACAGATCATGCTTATTTGAGATGACAGAGATCATTTCTACACATTTAAAAACAGTTTTTTGTGTAAATTGGATAAAAATTCTTGAAGAGCAATTTTAGTGAAAAATTTTATGACAGATTTTCTCATCACTCTGGGTTTCAAGGTCATATCTGAGGTGACGAGATATCTCGTCACTCTGGGTCATCAAGAGGTTTAGAGTTGTAATTTTGTGGTTGAGTTATAATGGAAGCCTATGAAGTTACTTGAAACAATCCACTGGATAAGCCAAACTGTTTAATGATAGATTTGAAATTTTAAGGGATGTTTCTTGGTATTGGTATAAAAAGAATACAACGGATTCGTTCTTGGTCATTCTGGGTAACTGTTAAGGTGAGCATTATAGACTGTCCTTTCCGAAAACTGTCTGTTTCTATTCAATGATGCAATACTTTTTACCATCTATGTTATTCATATTATTACTAAAAATTCCAGGAGAAGCAAATGCCATCAAACAATCTTATTTTATCAAATCATTCATCAGTTATCGATGCATTACAGCATTAGCAGCAACCATACTGAAAATTCCTTCCAAGTCTTGACAATCCATATCATGGTGCTGCCATCTTTATTCAGTTTTGTACACAAATTAACATCCCACACTAAAACCAACAGTTTGTTTTTTACTAGTATACATGTATTTACTATAATATAATATTGATCATTTCATCAATCATAAAATGCTATTTTTACATTTTAATCTTTTAAAAATCATACATACAGATAATATATTCACATCTGATACTTTTAGCAAAAATACATTTTATCACAAAGATCATATCAAACGTATCAAATTTCTCAAAATTAATTGATTGAACAGAACAAGGAAATGGTTTGATTATATTATATAAAACTCACTTAAGAGTTCTCTATTGTATCTCATCAATAGGTATTAAAATAAAACATCTGATTCGAAGATCCAAATCATATTTTAATTTTGTCAAACACATTTACCAAAGATGAGGACATTCACAATTTTCCAGAGATCTTTCTAATGTGTGAAAGTGACTCCAAGATTCTCTTCTGCGGCACATTTATATAATTGTACATGTATGATTCACTGGTTTTCACTTCCATGAATCCTGAGTGTTTGGAAACATTGTCATGAAGAGACTGTTGCATGATTTAAAATATAGACCGTATCTAAGGTCTATAGTACTATATTACAAGTCTTTACTGTAGTATCAGTCTTAAAATGATGATAACTCCCATTTATCATTTGGGTGAGTAGTCTACTTCTTCTTTGGAGGAGCTCTGGAATAGAGAGGCAACATTAATTAAGCATCCTTATTTGACGTTATGTACATGAATAGATGCAATAAGTTTCTTATCTCTTAAAATTTACTAGAAATACTCATAGAATATATAGTATGTAAACTGAAAATTTAATAACAACAAATGAATGAATGATTAATAAAAAAATTGATTATATTATAACTCCCGAAGGGTGATATAAAAATCAGTTTAGCAGGTCATCTTGTGTTACTTTCATAGAAAAAAAATCATTACACTAGCTGCTCAAAACTAGGAACTTTTCATATAAAAAGAAAACATTAAATCATGGAAAGAAGTATTCAGGTAAGATGTTATCATGAATGTAAATCTCTTATTGAACGAGAGTCAAGTACAATCATACATGTATTGTGTACCAAACTTTATTCCATACTTTTTATAGGTAAATGACATGCAGGAATTTAATTGATATCTGAAGTGAGCTGGTGATATATATATCACCCACTCATCAGATCTAGGATGTCACAAATTCAGAGAGTAGATACTGAGCCAGGGGACATGACTATAAACCATCTATTAAGTATAGAATAAATCAGTTATTAAATGCTCGATTTTTGATACAGGGTATATCCCTCGGTAAATACAATATCAACTCTCGGTCCCTACAGTCATTCGGGTTGATAAATTGCATTTCCATCAGATATAGCCTGTATCAAAAACCTCCCATTAAATAACATCTACGTATTATTCAACTTATATTTGCTACCTGCTGCTCCTATAGGAATTTAGTTGTAGATTAGCAATATTATATCATACCTGTATTGTCCCACGACTATTGCGTGGTCTCTCTCATAAGGTTCTAAGGTGATCTGTTCCATTGGTTTTATTTTCTCTTGTCTCAGTTTATCTACCTCCCCTGCAAACACTACTGCAGCCTCTGCTGTTGAGTCAATACAATTTGCCTACAAGAGATAAGATCATTCATGAAGCCTCATTAAGCAATTCAATACAGTTTGCAGAAAATACATTTTTCACAAAATGGAGATTTGCTATGTTTCAGACTACCTAGAGGAAAGAATCTATAGAAAATTTTGGAGCATTTTTATAACATACAAAGTATTATATTTCTATACTAATATATATCACTGAAGGGTTAAACCAACTTTGATCAATATGAAAACAGACAAATACAAGGCATCACCACCTGTCATTTGTTACGGACACTCAACTCCAAATGCCAACCATCGAACACCATCAAAAAAAGTTCGAGACTATAACAATATGTCACCACTACTGATACAAGTACATGTAATATCAAATCAAAATTTAGCTTTCAAGATTGTACAAATACTGCATGTACTGTACTCCTGATAGTTTTCACATGCTATTATATTTTCCATTTTTGTGAATTTCAATGTTGACAATATTGTCCAGTACTGGGTAAAAGGAGGGAAGGTTTTCTTAAATTTATTTCGGGGTTTAAAACATTTCTGTTGTATTTCTCAGTGATGTATTAAATTTTTATCAACCAGAGTCAAGACCACTGATGGCTGTCCCTTACCTTTATAGATATGACTATGTGGCCTTCATTTTTAAGGAAGTTGTGTGCATTTATGGCTACAATACGGGCTTGATCTGGTTGGGCTACATCAGCAAATATACAGTCAACCATACCTAGTAGCAAAAAAACATTTTATAATCGGACTTGTTAATATATGGTCCAACATACCTCGAGTAGCAAAGAACATTTTATTTTCCCGTTGCAGAATCTTTATCATGAATATATCCAAAAGTTTGATTGAACCGTATTTATTTTGAACAATTTTTCAGATGTGTTGATATACCTTTACTTCATTTCATTTGTTTGAATCTATAGTTCTTTTACTATCACAATGTCTATAGTTACAATAAAGAATTTAGGAATTTCCAAAGCTATAATATTCTTGTAATAAATCCCTGTTTACTTACCAACTAACATTCTGTACTTATGTGGATGTCTGGCATCTTCAATGATGGGAATGATATTGGTTCGTTTCTTGGCGACATTGATCAGATCTCGTCCACTCCTATGTGAGAATTCTACTGCATATACACAACCCTCCTAAAAGACAACAGAAGAATTCAGTTAATTATTCAAGTTTAATATACCCCGAGGTTTCATCAGCAGCAGGCAATGGGTGATTTTCACCAGTTGTTTTCACAAAATCTGTTGTTTTTAGGGAGTTCAACTTTTAAAAAAACATTTAAATTTCATCACCTTTGAAGCAAAAGTGGACGTCTAATTCCAAAATGGCTATATGTGTCATACAATTAATTGCATGTTTTTCACCTACTACAGTAAAATTTTAAATGTTTGGAACTACTTCGAATTTTAAAAAAAAGCAATTAAATGACTATATTGCAACAGTATATCAAAAATAGAAATTCAGATAGTTATGTATAATGTGCAGTAAAGCTGTGGCCTTTTGTAATTTAGGGAATTTCAGCCATGTTAATTTTTCCGAAAATAACATGGCAGAGAAGCATCAAAATATAAGAGGCCACAGATATGATAGCTAAACTACAAAACAAACTAAAATATACAAAAGTTAGGACATGTATAAATGATTCTAAATTTACATATACTGTTTCAATATGGTCTTTTGATTGCTTATTTTTTAAATTCAATGTAGTTCCAAACATTTAACATTTTACTGTATGTAATGGGATTTTCCCATCTATGCCCAACCTTAATTATGAAGAATGCTATAAATGATAACTTACTGGGCCAACAATATCTGCTACATGGGAGACTGTAGTTCCAGAGGCAGCACCAAGGTAAAGCACCTTCTTACCAGGGCCCATATGAATTCCATCTACACCACTAATGATAGCTGCACAAAGTTTAGACCTGAATGGATTCCAAGCGCGGTACTCAATTTTCTTCTCTCCTTCCTGAAACATCCACCATTTTTTAAAGTTAATTCAATTGTCAAGAACTGGCTAAAGGCAATACTGGTCACATTGCAACATGCAGAATTTTCTTGTAACACCATGGAAGTTAAATAGCAAGACACACAGTGATATATATCACTTTTTTATCAAAAAAAAAGCAGAAGTAATTTTTAAAAATTCACCAATTCAAAATTGAACAGGAAAGTGGTTTTCCTGGAATTTTGATGACAAGATTTATGGCGCCTATCAAAATGACATAATACAGGACTCCTAGACTTCCACAAATGTATATACCTCAACAACAATTTTCTTCTCCCCATATACAGTCTCTCCAGGCACCAAGTTTAGTGTAGCAATAGCATCTTCTTTGCCACGGACAACAAATACACCTGAAATCAAAGTACACGTATGAACTTAGCACTGATCTGGTTAACTTCACTGATTTTCAACAGCAAGACTATGTGTGAAGCCAGCTAGGTAGCTCAGCAAAACTGATTTCTACACAGGTCAGCTTGCTCGGCAGCACCATACTAATGCCTGTCACATTTGATCTACAGTAACTGTACGGCGCCTGTAGCATCTCAAAATTGAGAGAAATATGCAGGATAAATATAGGAATAAGGAGCACGCTGTAGATTTTCTATATGAATGAATGATTGCCATATAGCAAATGTGATTGAGACTTTAGGCACAGAGCTATTTGTATTGATGAGCTCAGTTGTATGTTTAGCTCAATGTGCATCCTCAAATACTTGCGGTATGTTGATGTCTGGTTAGTACCCGTGTCTTAGACTACAAAATGAATGTAAAAAAACAACGAAGTACACTTTACATACAAGTACAAATTGATATCAATGTGTTCATACTATGCATGGTGTTAAAATAGGTATATTGTAATACCTTATATAATATTCTTCTTATTCAAATCAAAGCTAAAATTGGCAAAAATGATTTAGAAACCTACCATTATGTCTATGTGGTTCTACTACAACTTTCCTGCCACCTCTCATACCACCACGGCCTCCTACAAAGCAATTCAAAGATTATATACATGCAAATGTGTTATGGCAGCTTGTAGATAGTCACAAACAATAATAAGTCTTGCAATTAATTCTACTCATTATCCATTTTTGTAAAATACCAATTGTTATAACTTAGTGTGATCAATGAGACAATTCATTACTCAGGCATAAAAAAAATTTTTAGTGAAAAGTAAATAAACAATTCCAGTCACATTTGATCTCTGGCAATCGTACCATTTCATTTCAATTTTGTGAAGCTATGAACAATGTACGTCCTATGTAGAGCAAATAGGACTGAGGCTTTAGACGCAACTCAGTTAATTTGAAAACATGAACATACCTCCACGGCCGCCACCTCGACCACGAGCACCTCCACGGCCACCCCCTCGGCCTCCTGGGGAGAAACCTCCTCTGCCTCCTAAAAAATATCTATGATTACTTTTATATCAACTCAAAAGGATAAAATTGTAGTCATTTTCTTTGATGTCACATTGAAAACTTCAAAAACATTGGAATGGGAACATAATCAAAGATGTTTAAAATAAAAAAAATAATTAAAAAAATATGTTTTGCAAATGCTGGAATTTTCCATAACACAGTGGACAAATATGCATTCTGCATTAGTTATTACAGGTTGCACATTTCAAAAAAATCATCTAGTTTATATGATGTCATAAGTGAATCTTTGGTAATCCAAAACCTATAGAGGATTCACAGAAAGGAATGGTACATTTTGCAGTGAAACATAAAATTACAGAAATATATTTCTTGACACCTCTTATATGTGTGTAAAATTTCTCACTTATTAAATTGTTCATCCAGGTGTTATTTAACAGTCTAAATCACAATAAAAGCAATTGTTAAGTTAGTCCTCAATACAGATAAAATATACTGTACCTCCAAAACCACCTCTTCCCCCGCCTCTGCCGCCGCCGCCTCCTCCTCTACCTCCTCTAAACCCACCTCGGCCACCGCCTCTTGGAGAAAATCCTGTAAACAAATTTGAAATCAATAGAAAGAACTTAAGACTTTGGGACAAGCTATGTGATCGGTCATAAGGCGGAACGCGGATCATTTTACAAATTTTTCTGTGCTTACATTCGCAGTAATATCTTGCCATAGTAGCAAGATATGTTTTTCTAGATCCTTTATGGTGTTATCTCGGACTTGTACGAATGCCAAATCTCAAAAAGCATGATAAAGATGTGTATTATCTTATTTCCTGCGAAAGCTATGTGGATTTTGATATAATAGCTTTCCCACGGCGCACTTGGACAGCTGAATAATAGTGACCTTTAAAACATGAATAAAGATTTCTGCGGCTTACCCTTGGTCTCTAACTGTGTCTTACATCAGTATAATCAATCCGTGCAAGTATTGGATACTTCTTTTTCAATCAAGACTTGTTAATTGTTCATCGAGTGAATGTTTTTCGACCCATTTCCAATATGGCGGTTTATTAGGAGCGAGATACGCACCGAACGAAATGAATTTTGAGAATGAGTTAGATTCGGACAACCTCCAGAGATTTACAAAAATGTCAGAGCAGAAAACGCCATATTGGAATTAAGCAGAAAAAAACATTCACTCGACTAACAATTACAAGTCTTGATCGAAAAGGAAGTACTTCAGCACTCCAATACTTGCACGAAAGGATGATAATGATGTATGACATACTTAGAGAACAAAAGTAGGCCGCGGATCGACTTAATTCGTGTTTCAAAGGACACTATTATTCAGCTGTCCATTTTTCCGTTGGAGAGCCATAAGTTTCAAAATCTAACATCGCTCTCGAAGTGAGTAAGTATTATCCATTTGAAAAACATCAATATTTTGAAGAAAAAGATTTAGCAATTGTAGTTGTAGTTTTAATCAATATTATGATGGAAATTCTGCCCACTGTGATGTAGGGCTAGATTACTATATTTGCACATAGCCATCTTTAGATAGATGGCTATGCATATCTTGATATTCCCAGCTCATGTTTAAGGTCTGTTACAAAACTGTAAGAAATCTTGAACATTTACCCTACTTCAATCGATGCATAACATTCTAAAGTATCATTTTTCTAACCATATCGGGCTATCTGGAGTCGGGAGACAGTGTAATTGAAGAAAAATGTATTTGGAATTTGTTATTTTCCATGTCGTCTGACCAGAAAGTCTTGCCAATGCACATGCGTGTAACCGGAAGCGGAAATATCATGGCATGGAAGCGCATGCGCATTACCCAACTTCCTGAGAAGCCATCTTGAAAATTATCAACTCTTCAACATTTTTCGTCAATTACACTGTCTACCGACTCCAGATAGCCTGATATGGTTAGAAAAACGATACTTTAGAATGTTATCGATTGAAGTGGGGTAAATGTTTCCAAGATTTCTTACATTTTTACAAAAGACCCTTATAAAGGACTGGAAATATCAACATATGCAAAGCTATCTCTCTAAGCAAACTAAGTAAGGGCTAGACATGAGATATTTGAGAGAATAGACCTATCAGTAAGCCAGATGAAATCTGAAGACTGATTAGGAATTTGCCAAATCAATAGGCTTTTGGGAAACCATTTGAATGGGAAATCTTAAACGTTCAAAATGTGTTTAAATGTAAGCTGGCTCCAGGAAGCTGACCCTCGGAGGAGGTCTCCAAATCGAGCATGCGAAATTCAATCACAGATCATGAGAAATAGAAAAATATAGAATATTTCAAATGCCTTCAAATCTATAAAAGCTCTGCTAAATCTTCATTTATATGGGTCCAAAACGTGCCTGAAATATACCTCTATACAATAATATAGCCGAATCGTGCGATTACAGTGTAAGTATGACAAAAACAACTATTTACCTGGTGGACCCATTTTGTTTGTAAGCTGTAAACCACGTGAAAATGTTTTATCCCAAGATGCAACACTTCCGGATAACACTGCACGAAATGGTTTTATCCCGGGGATATTTCCAATTACGTTATTCACGATTTTATCTATAATAGCATTGTCACCAGACAGGACCTAAAGATTTTAGGAACAAATACGTAGCATTCGCATTAAGCATTTTTGAGGCCCTAAATTTTTTTGTGGGCATGGGGCCAGTGCCTATGGTCATAGCCTTCAGACAGTATGGTTAATAGGACTAAATACTAAATAGGCCTGACATCTTTATATCATTATCAATATAAAACCATATACAATTTTCTAACATCAAACTAAATTGAAATATACTACTAAAGTGAAGTTATCAGGATAATGAAAATATCAAAAAAATCATCAACCCGTCACTTGTTTAGAACTCCTTAATTTATCAAAATGTCAGACTTATTTTCTTCAAAGAGGACATTCCTTTTCTTATCTTTACTATATCAGTTTCTTTGACACATGGTCATTTAATACTGAGGAGGGAGGAGGGCATTGAAATGAGATAAAGTTGAAAACAACAAATCCCAGTTTATATTCCCATATGAAAACACAATCGTGCAGCCCATTGGTTTCAGCCTAGTTTTGTTCACCAAAGTTGGATTTCAAAGCCATTCTACCTCAAAGAAGTTATAGATCTCTTTGGCACACCACACCCAGTCCTTTGTTAATTTGTGCAAGTCTGCCAACCGTTGACCTTTATACACCATTGGTCTTTTCACTAACATTAATTAATTGTATCATAAGTCATACCATAACAAGACTTGTAATTACACATCATATGAAAACTGAAAAGAATTTTCAATTGAGATAGCTAGACACATGTAAAAAGTATAATACTTTCAAAATTGTGTGTTTAGAATTGCCATGATTTATTATTTTCGAGCTATTAAGTATTGACATATTTAAACCAAGCTTTTACTATTATTTTAGGATTAATATTTTTGATAACTTGACATTTAAACAATAAAACATATTTGAAGCAGTTGTTTATGATTCAATAGTACATGTAAACCTTATTTGAGATTATCATATCTTGGCTGTGTGTGAATATTTTTAAAATATACTAAAACACCATGAAATGTAATAATGTGACAGAACTTATTGACAAGTGGATTGTACTATTGTGATTTAACATTAAAATTGTGATTCTTCTAACAGTAAATCATCTCTTAAATCTTTTTCAACAGTGTGTCAATGGGGATTTAGGCTTTTTCAGAAAACTTGAAAATCTTTAAAATTTGAATAAAGGTAAATAACAGCGTCTCAAAGTTGTTTTGATAGAAAACACAAATAATTCAAATATACCATTACATAGAGGAGAAAATGATGGTCTTTAATGATTAAAAAAAGCAGATCTCCTAAAATGTCATTCATAAAAATGAGACTTTAACAAGATTTCAAAGCCATATGGAAACTCTTCTATTGGTGGGAAGATGTAAAACATATTCATTTGCACAGAAAATGAATCCGACTCACAAAACTTAAAAACAACATTTATATGATTCATTCATGAATACTTTTATTATGCAAATTATACATTTGTAAGTTGAAATATTATACATATTTTTGCATTTTAAATACAGGTTTTAATTATAATACCTGACAGAAACCCATGGTGTATATAGATTGAGGTTAAACCCTCCATTATGAGACATCTGTTTATGAAGTTTCACATCAAATACGTCTTATCCAGGTCCGCATTTATTGATCTTTCAATGCAAGGTAAAGAAAAGAATGGAGGGTTACAACCTTCACTGATGATCAACTTGATTACGCTAGTTACCGAAACAATTTGTTTCAGTTCGTTTCGGTAACAAAATGTCGGTAACCAGCGTAATCGAGTGGATCACCAGTGAACCTTGCAAACATATTGTGCAAACACAGCACTACAATGCAATAATACAAATATCAAAATAAACAGACATTTTTCATGTTTCTCAAATCATAAAATAAAATATAAATTTTGTATGGAATCTTCCATTGTGTAGCTCCTTAGCTATCTACATCTTATGTTCTAATACATCATTTTTGTTTCCTTAACATAGTATCTATCAATAGTGAATAATATACCCATACCAATTTAGGTAATGAACATTTACAGAAAATAAACTAGTATACCATTGTCTAATTATACTATACACTGTCGTTTCTTTTATCATATTCATTATGATATATTGTCTTATACAATTAGACAATTAGAGAATTCTAATGTGATAAACCTGGATTATGCCATAGACTGACATATTAAACTCCAATACCATTTCCCTTTAAAAGGGTAGTGCCTTCAACTGTCTTTTCTATAATATTTTTATTCAAGGGGATAGGGTCCCAGGGTGCTTCATCAATATTTTTTCCATATATGGGCATGTTCTGCCTTATTACCAAACAAAAATTCCAAAACTCACAAGCAATGATCAAGATATTAGTTCAAATCTTTTGGACTGTTTATTTTGAATTCATAGTCGGTTATAATTTCAGAAAATAACAACATTTGGACGTTTTCATTGTTGGAAAATATTGAGTTTCGATCCTGGGAGCCAATCCTCCTTAATTATTATTTTAAATTAATGATTCCCAACTTCCACCATTCATAGGCTTTGACACAAAATGCTCTTTTCTAAATACATATATTAAATTTCGAAAAAAGGACGAAAATACCCACACCTAGTTTCTGATTTTCTCTTTTTAGGCTATGGCTTTTTCAGAAAAGAAGATCTGCCTTTAAGTCCATTGATTTCGGTGCAATTTCATTTAATACCACACATTGCACAATTTACCTTTATTTACCTTAAATTACACTGAAATCTTATTGCTTTATTAAATATATGTAGCATACAATACTATTCAACAATATACAATTCTACACTATTCCATATACATAGACTAGTCACTTACTATGTAATAAATAAATTTTGAAATTCAGTAATGAAGATTTGGCACACACTATGGGTATATTGCTGAATCTAAGTCATGCATCAAGTCTCTGTCCCCAATCTCTAGCCTCCTGCCCCTAATAACTTTTTTTTAACTAACTCCCGGGCTCTGTGTCTGTCCATCAACATTTTGTTTTTGCCAGGCCCTATTTCACTTCCTAATACTTTATCACAAGCCCCCCCCCATCCAACTAGTTTTCCTACCAACATCCTCTCTGTCCCTAATCCTCAAATACACACTTGATTGTCCAACTAGCTGTCTGATTAACTAAGTCTCTGTCCCCTCCTTACCCTACATTGCATATTGATCTATACCCCCCCCCCTTACTCAGATGATGAACTGCCAGAGGGAGTAAACAAGGGGTTGATGCAAAACTTCATTAAACTTATACAAAACTTTAAATTAAATATGTTTGGTAAATTTATGCACACATGTAAAAATAACTCACTCGCTGATTTTCTAAGCAAGTCTTATTGCAGACAAACAACTAATCAACAGTGTTTTTGATACAGGAATTTCAGATACAGATGTAATTGTTACTTTTTGTTGAGGGCAAGTCAGGTATGAAGTAGGTGAGGCATCTTGCTTCACCAAACTGTAATTGAAAAAGTAGTATTCAGTTTACATTTTACTGAAACGATGCAAATAATGTCCAATAGGAGCATTATACCCTCTCTTTTTCAATTTGCCTCTCCCATTATACATGTTCAGAACCTGACTAAGCCCCTGTGTAATGTAATATATAGATTTATCACATGGTTAGGAGTTTCTAAGCATTTTGATTGGTCAACTGTGACAACGTATATTCCATATCACATGCTGAAACGTGTGATATCTGATAGAATCAACAACAAGAACCTAATCTGAAACCTGTACTTCAATCTCTAACCCCCTCCCATAAAATGGTCCCATAAAATGGTCCCATTAAGAGGAATCAAGTTCCAATCCTCCCATATTCCACACCCAATCCCACGCTGCAAGTTTTAAGTGCAGTATAGAAATATACCATTTATACATTATTTAAGAACCTAATTTGAGAATAATACATTCTCTGATATAATAATATCAATTGATATCTATCATGATATGGGGTTGGTTTATTCTAGTGTAAAATGAATAATGATAAAGTATATTTATTTAGAGGACTATTTACAATGTTTGTATGACTTGATAAATCATTGCTAAATACTAAAATCTGAACTGCAATGGCACATCACCCAATAGGCAGCTTCTTTTTCAGAGGAGCTCTAATTTTTCAGTGGTCAAACAATACCAATTTTGATCAAAATTAAGCCAACTGTGACTCAAAGACTTTTCCAGGAAAAAGTAAGTCTAAATTTTCCTGGATGAATTTGTTAGACGAGGTGTGGCTTGCATGAGTCCCCGGACTGTAGTGACAGCTACCCTCAGTCAGAATATATCATATTTGACAATACTCTATTGAAAGCCACATACAATTATATTCTGATAAATGGTAAGTTCATTTGGTCTTTAAGCTGTAAACAAGACTTGAATCTATTCAAGTGATATACATAGACTCCATACATTCAGATATATTATAATCTCCGAGCAATTTGTTCAGTGCAACCAATTGCTTCTCTCTTTCAGATGCCTTATTTTCCAGGATTTTAAGGTAGTTCATTAACGTTGCTTTATTGAGCTTATTGTTGCCATGGCAAATGTTAATAACCATCTTATTAAGAAAGAAATTTGGACATGAAGATGCCAAGAAATTATGTTATGAAAGTGACTGAAAAGCTATGTCAATTGAATGACATCATTTCAATGTGAGATCAGGATCTCCAGGAATAAATGAATTAAGGGTCTGAAGAAAGGTAGGTAGGATCACACCAAATGAACTGCTAGGTCAATATGATTATTACATGAACATACATATACATACATAGCATCTGACAATATATTCATTGATCAACAATACATGTAAATCATGTCGTATATTAAACAAAGGCTTTTATGAAAATGTTTTTGATATGCAAGGCCCACAGCCAGTTTTTGCCAAGGGGGATTCAGTTTTTCAGTTTTCTAAAAAAATTAGGGGGGTTCAAATTTGACAATTTTGAACTAAGCTCACTTGAAAAGTGATCAAAATGGTAAAAATGGCATGATTTTGAAAGAATCTTTGGCTCCCGAACACTCCCTGGCTATGGACATGTATGCTTATACATGATTCATTTAGCTCTATACAGGGCATGTACTTGTAACTGAACACTGAACATTATACAAACATTTAATTCTATTGTGGTGAATACCTGTGCATCACAAGTGGTATTCCACAAAGCCTGAAGGTATTCACCTAAAACAGAATTAAATATTTGTTTTATTATTCACTATTATATTCCTCACTCACATTTATGAAATAACAGACTATTGATGTCTAATTAATCATAACAATGTACTGCAGTGTATATATAAAATTAAAATTACACTTGACTAAGTCGGACTGGTGGATGTCACTTGTTATTCTTAGTCATGTGTAGGACATGGACCAATCAGAGAGTGCAGAATATGACAGTGATATAATAATATCTTATATAAACCAGAAGCACATGGTCGTCCTCTATAATAGACTAGATGCGAGTAGTAATAATACTGATTTACGTCATTAAATATTCAAAATTCAGTCAAAGTGATGTCATATCTGGCGATGAAACTAGTAGTAACTACCTACTCGCATCTAAGTTATTTGGAAATACTACAACAATACATCATAAATTTGTAATAATTTGACACAAAGTATATTGTAAAGCAAGACGTTTTATGTGGTACTTTTTTTGTGAATAAGTTTGTAATAAAATGTGTCCTGACCTGAGAAGTGTTCCACATAAACAAGTCAACTTAACATTACATCAATGGTCATGGGTCTGTGAAGTGCTCCAGACACCATACTCAATCTGAAGTTGTCCATTTACAAGTTTTACTTAAAATTACACAGTTGTTAGTCTTGCATCAAGTGTCTGACCCCCATATCTATTGTATAGATGGGGAGGAGTGAGGACACAAGGGCTTAAAGCAAGACTACAACATATCAATCATGTCAACAATTTACTCATTGTTACGTTTCCCTGATCAATATACAAAATTGACAGAATTGCCCTAACAGCACACATTCTAAACAATATAACATGATTGTCTTTGGTTTGAGATTTTGTACATTGATTGCATGTCTGTAGCCAGTGGGGGTTCCCAAAAGTTCATAAATCAAATTAAGTAAAATTCAACCATTTATTATGTTCATGTATGTAGCATATTAGTCCTGTTTGAATCTATAACAAGGGCAGGGTGTTTATGAGCAAATCATTTCATCAGAATATCATAGAAATACTAATTGGCCATTTAATTCAATAATTATAGTTTTTTTCTGAAAAGTTACGAATTAACAATGATGCAATCTTTAAGAATCAATATTCTATAATGAAGTGTATTTTTAAAATTTAAATCTTTAAATAAAATGAGAGTCAGAATGAAATGGATTGCATATTACAGTTAAGAAAAGAGATGTAGGAACATTACTTTTTATTTTTATGATCAATATTTAATCGTGCCAAGTCTTGGCTCACATGGAAATTCTAGTGACAAAAACAAATGGCAACTTAATTTACAATCTCACAGAATTAGCAAGACAAAAGGCCACATAGGCTATTGCAAACAATTTCAGATGGTTATATCTTGGATAATAACTTTATTCTGACTAAGAAGATAGGCATATCTTTTAGTTTAGATCCATGCATTATCTGAAAGAAATGTATACTTATACAATGATAATTAAGACTGAATTAGGTAGTGTGCGCGGTACAAATGGGCATATAAATTAACAAAAAGAGAACCCCACTCGCACCTGAAAAATCCTGGCTACAGGGCTGGATTGCACCTATTTTAATGACTTGAAGCACCTACAGATTGATTGCCTGTTTAGCAAATATCATAAAAACTAAATGACTAGGCTTAGCTAGTATTCTATTCCAAAACACAAAAAAAATCAATAAAAGAGAAAGTGATAAACTGGTACATTGCCTTAATCCAGGTTAGAACCATTTAATGGGCATTTTAAGTGATTTTTGCCTTTACAACGAACACATATCATGTCTTCTAACCTTATCAGGACATCATCAAAGATAACAATACTCTAAATGCAATACTATGAAAAAATTTCAAACCAGAATAAATTGGACAAAATATCAACACATTTAAAAGTGGTATTCATTGGTTAGCAAATTAATTAATATCAATTGTTATTGATACGTAAATATTTGCCTGTCTACAACTCTAATTCTGTATAAGGTTGCCAGTCTCTTTTTGTTCAAGTTTTTTCTCATTTTTATGAAGAATTGCTTCATTGTTCAGCACAGTCTTCGAGAGTCTATCGAAAGATCCATAACTCGATGCTTTCGAACCAAGGCACATTTGATACTGAGCAGGCTCCAGATTGGGGTCACAAATTATGGGATGGAATATATGAACAAGGTCATTATCAACCGCTCGGAATATTGTTAAATTACTCTTCAAGAACTTTCCATAGAGATCTACATCCTCTTTCCCCCAGCCTTGTATCGTCATATCTAACCCTCCAGCATTGTCCAAGTCAGATTTGTATAAGCTGACGATACCGAAGCCAAATTGACGCCAATACCCAATGTTTTCTCCATATATGAAAGGATTGTGTCGCATTTCACAGTCCTCCACCTTTGGACAAACATCTGCCGGATCATACTGGCTGAATACTATTGGATAATACACTTGTTTAAACTGTATAGTATTTAGACGAATACGATTCAGGTTTTCTTGATTGAATGTCATATCAACGTCTATGAAAAACAGCAGTGAGTTTTTATCATAGAGGGCGCTACCTTGCTGCAGGGCCACCCCACGGGAAAAACTATCGCGTGAGCCAACAACACGGAGGTCATAACCTTGGTACTTCATTTTCAAAGTTTTCACTTCCTGGAGTATAGACTCTGTGTCTTCAGATTCAAATAGCATTACAGCTAATGAGACACGTTCCCCATGTTGAAGACATACTTTCTCAAATATACTCAAGAATCTCTTGAATGTATGTAGTCTACCAGATAAAGGTAGAATAAAATGAATGGTTTCAGGAGTTGGGGTGTAGGAGGAACCAGCATTCAAATCCTCCGAATCCCTTGTACCCGTATAAAGGTAGTTCACTTTATTTTGGAATATTTGAAGCAAATTTGGTTGAGGTCCCTGTGCTATGTTATCTAGAGGTACAATGGGTGATACAGGATTGGGACTAGAAACATCTTCAGTAAACTCAATCTCACTGAATGTTTGTTGGAGATAAGCATGCCTACGAACTGGTACTGTCATTTTGCGACCTTTGTGTTTGCGATAAACCAGAAGCAAGTCTAGTACATAATCTGCCCCATAAAGTGGATTCACCCGTCTATAGCCATATAAAATCTCTTTGAAGTCTATAATTCTACCTCGTTGACGAGCATTTTTATTTATCATTTGCATAACTTGCATCATAATGCCTTCTAAGCCATTTTTAAGGGGAGCTTCCAGCCCACGTTTGGGATTAACGTCTCTGTCTGAGTACACTGCTTTACTTAGAAACTCCCAAGGGAGGATATCATGTTGATTTGTGGCACGATATTTCATTAAAGATGGTGGCATGCCATAACGATCATCTGTATGATAACCCTTCCTAATGATATTCTTATTCATGACCTCTATTTCACGTTTATGTAACAATCTCTTGTGACGCAGTTCTAGCGTATGAGCGTCTTGGAAGAAGGTATGTATTCTATACTGTTGTTGTGGTTGTTTCACAGGGTGCATAGTTAGGGCTCGATGAGTGTCTTTACTGTTTAGGTTCTTACTAAATGAACCATTTGGATCTATGTGGTTCTGGTAGAAGAGATGCTGCATCTGAAAATACAAAACAAGATGAGTTAGTGAATCTTTGAAAATAATATAGATGAGCTAGTGAATCTTTGAAAATAATATAGATGAGCTAGTGAATCTTTGAAAATAATATAGATGAGTTTGTGAATCTTTGAAAATAATAAGACTGATGCAACAACATCAATTTTTGTGACAAGCACTTCCCTCTAAAGTTAAGCATCAAGTACTCATAGGCGAAGGCAGGAGGGGGTGCGAGGGTGCGATCACACCCCCCCCATAACCAATAATAAAAATAGATCTCTTAGATAGAAGAAGAAAAGAGCTTTAAAATGCTTTTTATTTGATGCTTCTAGCTCAAATTTGAAGGAAGTTGCATTAATTTTTGTAAAATTCAAAACAAATCTTCAATTTTTGTGGTTTCTTATGCCACGATTGCACGACTGTGGTAAGAACCTTATTAGATGAAGTCTTTACCACGAGCACCACTCTCTAGTCTTGCATCAAGCCCAGTGTTCCCCATTTTTTCTGTCTCTAACACTCTGATATAGACGGGGCATGGGTTGAGCAAAGACTTGATGCAAGGATATTTATCAGCCGAAAATAGTAAATGTATGATAAGAACAATCGAAAAGGATCAAGTGTTTTAGTACATAGTACAAGCAGCCCTCTAAATTAACATAAAAAGTATAATGTTTTTCTCACAAGATATAAACAAACAACCAAACAATTGTCTACTAAAGTACATGAACTCAAGTTGAAGTACATCTTGGGCATTCAGGGGTTTTATTAGACTTTGGGACAACAGTCAGAACAGATGAAAACAACACACACATTTATTTAACGCTAATATTATCTTAACAAGTACAATTGCAAATTCCTAAAACAGCCAGAGAATTCACTTATTTGCCCATGGGTCCTTTTTTGGAACTGTAGTAACTTACAATTTGGTCGCAAGTCCTTCTTTGTCAAAAAGTAAACAATGGTTTTCTAAGAATCATAAGTTACAATTGTGTCAAAAACGAAAGCCTGGGTATCATTTGGGCCCTAATGTGTTTCACCTTTTCGACTGGTGGGCGTCAGAAAATGTGGTAGGGGAGGTCTAAACGTTGATGGATTTGACTGAAATTTTAATCCATCTTGATCTGGAAAAAGTGGAAAAGTGAAACACTCCAGTATTACCATAATAATCAAATGTTTCAATAAATTATGATGAAACATTGTCTGGCACATTTATTATTTACAAGACTATGTTATCTGGGTCAAGTGTTGTTCTTACGTGAGGCTAATTAGAAATTGACAACTTTATTCTGCAGCAATGTTCTTTTCACAGTAAATCTTGTCAAAGTGAAAACCACTTTTGAGTAAACACCTGACTTATCCAAATAAATACCTTCATCAAGTGAACACCTGTATTGAGCACATATCACTATCTTATGAATAAATAATTCTATAAGACATTAATTCTTAGTCTTGATATAATTAGAACCTTGCTGTATAGTAAAAGTAAATAAACAACAACCATATTGAAAAACAATCAACAATTTTCACCACAAGTAGATTGACTATACTGTATATTGTATAAATGCGAGATTCCTACTCTAAAAACATGACACAGGGGTTTCATTAGCAGCAGGCAACAGGTGATTTTCACCGGTTGTTTTCACAAAATCGCCTGTTGTTTTTAGGGACGTTTGAACTTTTCCATGTTAAATTTATGATTTCCATTATAATTTTGCTTCTTGTTTTCATTTATTTAGCCTGTTCTGAGAAATTCTAGTGAAACCCCCGGAAGACAGTTATATACTTTATAAGGGTTCCTGATCACCCCAATTTCTAAAGTCATGACATGGCAGCTACATAGCAGATTACATTGACCTTATCTTGCACTGCTACTAGATTGTAATCATTGATGCTATTGAGACCACTGTTGCCTAATTGTTAAGATAAGATAAACTTGTCTTTCTCAGTGAAAGTATTACAAATCCACAGTTACTTATTCCACAATCATTTTGTTATGAAATGATGTTATGAAATGTTATATGGACAAAGAAAACCTAGCTGACCATATACAAAAATTAAAAAGATGATGGACATTGTGAAAAATAAGTATCTTTTTGGGTTGCTTTAGCCTTCTGCACTCTGACTTATTTCAGCAAATATATCCCACGCATCTGACTTATTTTTCAAAAATGATATGCCTGGACTAAACTAGATAACGGCAACTCCGCGGAGTAGCAAATCCCAACGAACAAAATATCAATTACCGAATTCCAATCAATTATACTCATTACTTTGGTTGAAAATGAAAAAATTAGATTTTAGAATTGCGAATTCCTGCAAAGCAGCCATTTTGAATTTTAAAGCGGCGGCCATCTTGAAAAATTTTTTTTTTGCGTAAAACTATTCACCAATATACATCTTTCCACTAAATATGAAGAAAATCTGTCAACTAGTATTTGAGTTATCTTCCGGACAGACGGACGGACGGACGGACTGACTGACTGACGGACTGACAGACTGACGGACGGACGGAGGGCTTCACTATATCCCTAACGAACTTCGTTCGTTGGGATAATAATTAATATCTCAATAACTACTGAATGAATCTGGATAAAATTTTCACATAGGGAAGATACACTAGCGTGGCTCATGAGAAAAATGTTCTCATGAATTTTTTTCGTACATAAACACGACTGGGCATAAATATACCATGAATACTCCTCCGGAATCCGCCGTTTCGCCCCTCGGGAGATTCAACGTCTGGTCAGAATCCAAAACTGAATTTGCAGCGATCGAATGTTCTTCTTTTCAGTTCAGAAAATATTCTAGTTTCTATTTTCGATGACCATTATCGGCTTCCAAGAGCCTAAAGAGCTCGAAATCGCAATTCATTTCCTCCACATTTTCGTTGTGATCGTATTTGGCCGTCATTTTGTACGATTTGTTCACTAAAAACGACTAAAACACTGTTTAAATTGTTGAATTGAGAAATATTTTTCGAAACATCGCCATTTCTAGGTCAACAGGAAGTCACCTACTAAGGACTGAATAAATCGGGCAATCTAATTGGATCATAAGAACGGCGGGAAAAAGTAAAGTTTTCAAAAGTTAGATTTGTGTCGTCCGGATCCGCCGGTGGATTCTGGCGGTAATTTTGAATGGGCGGACGCGGTCGCCGGTGGTCTGCTAAAGGTTAATGGTTCTGATTGCTGAACTTTGGTGCAAAGAGTTAGCTCTTTATGTTTGTTTATTCAAATAATATGGTTTCATGACACTTTAAGTATCTTCTTTAAATATTGCCTCTTGTGTTAGCTGAAATTAAAGTTTCAGATTTTAGCAAAGCTCACTCCGGGTTCCCAAACTGGTTGTAACAAGCAAAAAATGCTGTACAATAGACTAGATGCGAGTAGAAATAATCTTGGTTCACGCCATTAAACATTCAAAATTCAGTCAAAGTGATGTCATATTTGAAATCTACATGTAAAAGTACATCTATTAATTTGGTTTTGAAAATTGTTTATCAACTTTGAGAATTTAATTTTTTTTGAAAATGTGACTTCTAGTTCGGGTTGATTCCCCAAAGACCCCATATTACAAAAATCACAAAAAGTGAAATATCTTTTCTTGCATTGGACAGATAACATTTTACTGGACATATTTTAATTTGCATAACTATTCGATACATAAGGGGTTATATGAAAATTAAACCACCAAAACAGATGTATTTAAAGTTAAAGGGAACTTTCTACTATACCCGCCATGCTATCTGACCCGAACGAGCCACCTGGTGGAGAAACTGGTAACTACCTACTCGCATTTGCGTTATTGTTGGGAATGGACAGAGCCCTTTGACAATATGGCCAATATAAAAAAACTGAATTCTCTACTATTTTTCAATAATATTTTGTTACTGGTTGTTTCGTATGACTTTTAGTCTATCACTGCAATCTTTAACAAAGATTCTCATTGGACACTTTTTTTAAATGGGACCCGTTATTTTTAAACAGTTGGATACCTGGAATCTAATAAGGCACTGTACAACTAAAAGTGCTGAATGCATTTTTAAAAGAACAAATAAATATTATTAAATCTTAAATAAAATGAGATAAGTATCCAAATAAAATGCATGGGCGTAGCCAGCTTCCAGTGAAGGGGGTAGGTATGATTGCAATTTTTCAGTTTTCAGTCGGGGGGGGTGTTTGATTGTGACATAAGCGAGCCAAAACAAATTCCTTCAAAATTGAGCTAGAAGCTTCAAATAAAAAGCATCCTAAAGCTCTTTTCTTCTTCTATCTAATGGTTTAAGGGGGTGGGGCAGAGGCACAGATTCCCAAATTTCTTTACTAGCCATGGTGGCTTGTAATGGAAAATACTTGGAAGCCAGCAGAAAAGTTAGGCGCCAACATTGTGGCTTGTAACCTCAATAGTTACAAGCCAAGAAAAAACGAATTAAATCCCCCATTGCCTCTTTATTAAGAGTTTTCTACATAGGCCCCGGGGACATGTATAAAATAGCGAGTACAGATGCATTTCTGGGCTACAGCTATCAGTTTTTCTGTGTTGACAAACATGACTGCATAAATATACTATGATTACTCCACTGAAACCGCTACTCATGCCTGGAAAGACTCTTCATCGGCTCGGAGTCAGAGACCAGAACTTATTTCAATGATTCGTTTTTGGAAAAAAAATCTTTTCAAATATGAATGTCCATTATCGGCTTTCAAAAGCTCAGAGAGCTCATAATCACAGCCTATATTCTTGAAAACTTCAATCTGGTCTGATCTGATCACATTTCTATTCATTAAGAAGATGTGATCAGCTAAAAACGATCAAAACTAGAGAAAAGTAAATATTTTTTCCAAATCCATGTTTTGATGTTTTGGTCACGTGACCACACGTGAAAGGTCAGAGGGAATGAAGCTGATTGGTCAAAGAATTCATGATGAACTTTAAAACGGCGGTAAATTCAAATTCAAAACTTATCTGCACAATGATTGGTCAAATAATTCACATTGCCGAAA